AGTCCTATGGATTTAACCTCCAAAGGGCTTTCTGTTGGTCCCTAAACTGAGGTTTCTCCAGGTCCTGGAATCTCCCTCCTCCACTGTACTCCAGCGGCTGCCTGCTGATTAAGTCCAGGAAAAGTGGAAAAGGAATGGCTATTAGTCCCATCCATCATTGAGACAAAAATTTACATGGAATTCAGATGGAAAAAAAGATTCATTTTGGGAGTTTTTCCAGAATGGAATGCATACATATTACAGAAGTTTCTGTCAACAATTCCTATTGCTATAACTTGCAACCTGGTTGAAGGTCTCAGCCACCATTCTGCTGACTTTTTGGCAGCAGTGTGAGTTTTCCTGTTCAGTTAGACCTTTGGGAGTGTTACAAGCCTATGGAGTCATCTGACTCCCTACAGGAAAACACTGATTGGTATTAATTTTCATCATTTCCCTTTTGATGTTGAAGTAGACTGAAACACTTCCTGCTGTTCTAATATGTTCTTTTTCTTTCCACTTCCCCCACCCTAAACGATTATAGTATTTCTGAATGCAAGGGGCAAGTTTGGAAAATTAAGAAATAGGGTCCTGTTACAGGCTCATAGGTATCACGATCCCAAATGGGAAACATGAAAGTGCTTTTAGTGAAAATCTGAATGTGCAGACTAGTAGTGGCTGAAGAATTTAAATTCCCTGGGTAGGGTAAAACTAGAAGGAATTTTCTGCCTTTATGTGCAATTTTAGCTAAGTAATAGAAGCACAATAAACTTCTAGACTGAGCTCAAAGTTCACTAAAGCTGTTTAATCAGGGTTTGGAGGATTTAAATATATATTTCTATTTGATTTGAAATGGCATTATAAAATACTTGTGTTATGTCAAACTCATTAGAGAAATATAAACCACGTATAACAATTGTTTTTGTCTTTATTGTTTACACTGTAGAGAATTTAAAAAAGCTAGTTTAGTGTGTTTTTGAGATTCACATATGTGTTTTATTTCTAACGCTGAAAGTTTACTTGGGGTAATTTTATTATTATTATTATTATTATTATTTTAGGTTTAGAAAGACTTCCATTAATCCTTTTTCATCCTGAGGCTTTCTCTGTCGTTGTCAACATTAAACTTCTATTTGACACAAAAATAGAGTCTGAAATGCTTTGTATTATATTTATTTGTCCAGAGATTGTAATTCTCACCAAATTAAATTGAAATTGCAAGGACAATTGGTGGGAATGACATTCTGTTCTTTTTAGATACTCTGCAATTTGATAGCTGGAACAAAAAGTAGCATAAATCCATGGGAGGATGGATTGTTCTTTCTTTGTCTTTGCAACACGCGCTCTCCTTAGCTGCAATAAACTGTCACTCTTTTTGTGGGTATTGCCAAAATACGGCTACACATCCTTGAAGATAGAACTAAACAGTGCCAGTGTCTCCCTTTTTATCAGAAAAGTTGAATCACCTTCTCCAGGTATGATTTAAAGAACGTGAAGCTTTTGAATCTTTACCTAATTGACATTAAAGTTACAGATAAGCCTTGGTAAAAGAAAGCCCAATGTCAACTTTCCTTCTGCAGGGTGATTTCATTAAAGTACCTGAATGATCAAAAGAATTCAAATAAGTAAGGCAGCACCTATTTTGTTAAAAAAAAAAAAAGAAGTTTGTAAACATTACTACCTGAATTACCTGATGGGAAGCTAGTGTATTTAGGAGATAAGGACATTACTGTGGTGTGAAGAATCCTCACCAAATGGATTGAGTGGAAGACAAGATCCCGAATCAGCCTGGATAATTGAGTTAACTGACGGCTTTGCAGTGAGGTAATGTCACAGATAAGAACCTCAGCTTGAACTGTAGGATTTCCCAGGCAGCAAATCTCACAATCATTTGTCATCTCTCAAGTTAGAAGACAACACGACAGACACACATGAGAAATTTATATGTGAAAAACACTGAATAATTTTAAATGCTCTGAAAATAGTCTAAAAAAAGGCAAATGATGAGAAGAAAATGATCGCCAAAGAAGGCCCTAAGTTGTGAGAAAATGTGACTATTTGGTGCAGTTTCCTGTATTATCATTACTTTTTCTTTTTTTTTTTCTGGAAAACATTGTTTTGAATGGGGTGTGGGGGGTGTGTGTGGGGAACTGGGTATTTTGCTTTTCCTGTTTATTAAATAAATTATAGTAATAGCCATAAACCCAAAATACTCCATCCCTACTTCTGAAATAAAAGTAACAAACTTTGGACAGGCCCAAGATGTTAGTATCACTTTGATCCTCAAAACTCTCTTGATTAGGTTTCTCAGGCCACTTTCTTTGATTAAAGATTACAGAAGAAAATCCTTCCTCAGAAAGTCACATGATGTCTTGAATCAATAATAGCCACTAGCTATTTGGTTCTGAGTCTTCCTCACACTTGTTGAGTATCTTACAAGTACTTACTACATATTTCATTGATTGAATAATTGATCTAAATATGCAAGAAGGCACAGAGTCTGAAAAAAAAGGGGCAGAAGAGACATTTTGGAGACCTGGGTTCTGTTTAGTTCTTTTACACATTTGATTTTAAAAAAGATTTATTCAGCTCCTTGTTAAGTGGAAGAACTGTAGTTAACATAAAGGTGCAGCCAACAAGAGCTCTGTTGTAGAAAGATGCAGTTTAGCCACTGTGCATGGGCAAGGGAACACTGTAGCAGCAGGTAGAGAAGAAAAGCTGGCAGCTTTATAAAAGATCATTTTGTATATGTATCGATTTACAAAACTGTCTAAAATCCTGCCTTTATTATGCCAGGAGTGACTTTCTATGTGACGTTTACCTTTCAGATAGGAAGCCAAGCCTCCCCAAAACTTTCACATGCTAACAGCTGTAATTAAGGTGGAAGGCCTTATTTAAATAGTAATTAGCCTTCAGGACTTGGAGGGTAAACAAAACACTAATTCATTTAGATAGTTAATTGGTCTTCCTCTTCAGCCATGCTATGTTATGAGCTGAGCACAGACAGTGCACCCACTTGCTGTGATGACATTTTGCAAACCCATGCTTGATTCCTGATTTTTCAGCCTTTAACTCTCTAATAACGGCTAATACAAACGAATGTGAAGACAACAAGCAAAAGTCATTAACATTTGACTTTTCTTCATAATTACGATTATTTTATGAACTGATTTATGTTATTCCAACATACTTATTGAAAGCCCCTTGTTGTTTTGTACATAGGAGTATTTTGATTTGGAGATAAATTATGTGGTCACTTAATTATAATCACAGGTGACACAGTGATTGCCCAAACTGCAGGGATAAGATTGGTTTACATTTTCCAGTGAGCAAATATCAACGTCATTCTCCCTGCTTCCTGCCATTAAGATGGCCAAGAATAGACAGTACATTTCAAAGGTATTTTAAAAAAGAGGACAACTACTCTACTATTGCTCTTGCCAAGTTTCCAGGTCCGTCAATTACTTTTGCTTAAAAAAAAATCACTATAATTGATATCTCTGTGTTGTGCTTCGGCTGCCTTGTAGATAAATTGCATGGTGGGAGGGCATCTGAGATTCCCTTCCCTCCCTCCCCCCCTCCTTCCCTCTTTCCCTCCCTCCCCCCCTCCTTCCCTCTTTCCCTCCCTCCCTCCCTCCTTCCTTCCTTTCTCGCCTTTCTTTCTTTGCCATTCTCTTTAAAAATTAGCATAAAATAGCTGTGGGGGGATACAGTATGACATTTACATATGTACTTACATATATCTTAATTACATTCTTTCTTTAATGTGTTTCTTCTGCTTCATCACCCCACTCATCACATTGTAGAACCGTGCCTGCCTAGGTGATAGGCGTCTTCGCCACATGCTAAGAAGTACCTCTCACAAATACTGGATGAGTGCAGGGCTGGCGCGTAGGAGGAGCTCGTGGATATTGATTGAATGATTAGCTAGATGCCGGAGCTAGTTGGTAGGAAGAGGGAGAGAAAGCTCCGTACAGTATCGAGCAGGTTCTGCCCTGGAGGGGTTAATAGTCGCCAAGGGGAAGACGGAAGTCAATAGCCGTAATTGAAAGTAAGAATCACTCAGGGCCCAGTGACTCTCTCGGCAGGTGTGGGAGGTAGAGCAGGGAGGGCTTGAAGGAGAGGTGGGAATTTAGGATTTCCCCCGGCTCAGGATTAATTCTGGTCCCAAGTTCAGTCCCGTGAATACGGAAGGGCCCCACCCCCGCCAGTACTGGAAGCTGTGCACACGCTTTTTTTTGGGGGGGAGGGGCTGGCTAACAAATTTCCCCTCAGGGTTAATGACTAATTCAAACAACATTAGATCACTTTGCAAACATGAATATTACAATATGGCAAAAATATAACCTGAAGAGCTGCCAATCTGTTATTAAAATGAGAAGTTAAAATATTGCAGTAGCATTAAAAAGAGGAGTTACACTGTCACCTTTTCATCCAAAACATAAATAAAATCCTCTTACTTTAAGCACTATGGTGGCACAAAACCTTTACACCGTACAGAACGTGCAGACTCTGCTTTTCAGGATTTTTAGACTCTTACTTATGGTGGCTCATCCGGAGACACTGTTCCGCCTCCCACAGGACCTGGGCCTCGGGCGAGCCAGCCGGCTCCCCAGGACGCACGCCCAGCCTCTGCCCACCCCACGAAAAGGAAAGTGGGGCGGGGGACGCCGCGCTAGGGCGCCAGCCGGGTTCGGCAGAGAAAGTAACCCGAGCCGGCCGATCGGGGCGCCCCGCCCCTCCGCGAGTTGCACTCGGGGTTCGGCCCCGCCCCCTCTTTTATTCCGGGAGCGACGCGGGGAGCAGAAACTTTGCAAGCCGAGCGCGCACGCTCTGCGCTCCTCCCCGCCAGGGCAGCCCGGGAGGTGGCGCCGGAGGTGGGACCCGCAGGCGGGAAGGCTCGGGACGCCAGCGCACGCCGAGCAGGGACCCCGGGGAACGCGGCGCCCCTGGGAGGAGCGGAGGCCAGCCGATCGCGCGCCGCTGGAGCAGGGCAGGAGGTCTCGGGCCCCGAGAGCCCCGCGCCGAGCCGAGGCCGGGGGTGGGGGTCTGGGGTCGCGGCCCCGCGCGCCCGCAGCTGCTGTCCCCCGGGAGCAGCAGCTGTGCCCCGGGGAAGAAGGAGGAGCTGCCGCTGGACGGTGGCAGCGGGAGGAGGAGCGACACAACTGCAACTGTCCCGTGTGCCGGCGACAGGGCTGCCCTCCCTTGGCTGAACCGCACCGGGATGACCCGCTGACCGCGGCCATGCAGCCTTGACCTGGCTCCCGGGCGCGCAGGGGACGAGTCGCGGGCGCAGGCAGCAGCGCTTTTCCGCCGACCCCGAGCCCAGCGAGGGGCGAAGCCACTTACCATGGAACCCGTGACCAAGTGGAGCCCCAAACAAGTGGTGGACTGGACTCGAGGTGAGCGAGCCTGGGGGACCCCGACGCCCTCCAGCCCCGTAGATGGAGCAGGCAGGAGCTGGGGAAGGGGTGCTCAGCCCCCCCTGCCGCAGAGAGCACAGCGTGGCGACATTGCAAACTTCTGCCAAGTGGCCTGTGCTCCTCTCGTGTGCCTTTCGGGGGTGCGGGTTGGAGCAAGTCGAGGGGAGCCCCATATCTAAACCAGGGCGTAGGGTGGCCTTTCTGTGCGGGATGGAGGGTGCGGACGTGGGTTTCGGCGCGGGGGAGCCCTCCCTGCCCTGTTGGGGTGCAGTGCCGGCGACCTGGCTGCCTGTCGCCGAGCGCAGAGGCACAAGGCGCCTTTGTGTGGGTGACTCCGGCTGGACCTCGTAAATGCTGCGTGCCCAGAGCAGTCCGCGGGCGTGACGCGGCGGTTGGACAGGTAGAGGGAGGCCGGCGGCTGGCGGAGCCTGTCTGTTTGGCTTGGAGCAGGCGAACTGGCAGCGCCGGAGCCAGCGCTATGGCATTTGTGCTGCTCAGATCCTGCAGCCAGGACTCTCGGGGACTCAGAAATTTTAGTTCCAGAGGGCGCCAGGACCTCCCGCGGCGCAGCATTTTGGGAAGGAGAAATGCACTTTGAAAGCACTGTCCCGAGTTGTACGGGAAGAGCAGTGGGCGATGGGCAGTGGAGTATGGGTAGGAGTTTTCTCCTGGCTGCCTCGCTTACTTTTTAGTGCCTCCCAATGTCCCCAGGGAAAGATGCTGGAGACTCCTCAACTCTGTACTCTTCTAAGAGAACCAAGTTCACCCAGAACAACCACTGGAGGCTCCCTCCTTCTCCACTTTGGAGTGGAGGGCTCCCTCTCCACTTCGACATCTCTTTATTTCAAGTTACTGTTGTTTTGTTTTTCCTTTCTTCTGTCTGCTCTTCTAGGTGAGGAGTGGTATTATTTCACAGTAATAATAATTAGAATTGCATAGCACTTCACAGTTTGCTAAGCTCCCTCTGCTCCGTTACTGCCTTTGGTCATCACAGTAGGCCTGAGAGGTAGGTAATGATGGTTGTCATCAGGTCACCTTTCAAACTCATGGCCAACACATAATGAAATTTATCTCATTTCTCATGCGTGGTTCCTTGCATGGATCACTGAAGGGGATGTCCCAGTGCGTGGGACAATTCCCTGCTCCTCTGGGGGAAGGGAAAGAATACATCTTCTTCCTCCAGGAGGGGTTTGCTTAGTGACCAGAATTTCCTGGACTCGTTTGTAAAATGAGATGAAAACAACCAGTGCTTGGGCATAGGTGACTAGACTGGCATTGCTAGAGCTGGTAGACTTAAAAGCCATACACGCCCTACCCTTGGAGTGAAGTGCATGCCCCTGTTGAAGCTGTCACCAAGTTGCCTAGCTAGCAACTTGCTAATGAGCAATTTCCCTTGCGTGTCCACCAACAAGACAACACAGCAAAGTGTTCAGCCCCTGTTGACCTCTCCAGTGGCTCTGTCCAGTATGGTAGCCAGTAGCCACACTGGCTGTCCAGGCCTCGAAATGTGGCTGTCAAAACTGTGATGTGCTCTAAGTATGAAATACACTTGTCATTTGGAGACCTGATGTGAAAACAAAATGAATGTAATATATCTTAATTTTTGTACTTATTACATGTCGAAATGATAGTAATTTAGATATATTGGGTTGGCTAAAACTTATTACCAAAGTTAACTTTACCTGGTTATTTTTACTTTCTTAGTTAAGGCCCCTACAAATTTGCAATTACACATGGCTCCTGTTTGTGGCTTGCTCCTGTTTCTTTTGGATAAAACTGCTCTAGGGTAAGGAAAGGGTTACATTTTATTACTCCTGAACCTGTGCCAGCTGACTTGATAATATACAACCAGAAAAATGGTAACAGCCACACAGGAAGACTATGGGGTGAGATCTTCACACCCTCAAGATCTGTGTCTTTTTTTTTTTGGACCCTCTTGGAATTGGGTGAGAAGTGTCAATTTACATCCTGTTAGATTTGTTTAGCACTGAAAAGGAAGCACAGATTAAAATGTGTTTTTGGTATCAGTTGCCTTGACATTTTGACTTGGTTGAAATTGCTTGCATCTGGAGAAAGTTTTCTACTAACCCAAAAGACCAACTATGGTGGCTCAATGTCTTTGATTTGGATTCGGTTTCATACCTGGGTCAGCACTTGGTGACTTCATCCAAAACGCTTGTGCCCTTTTGGGTCTCATAAATACAGCCTCATAGAAAGATCTGGATACTTTCTATGTTAAAATCTAAAAACAGATACAAAGGAGCAAATGTTGACAAAGTCTTAGATGGCAAGGTAGCACATTCTTCCAGATGACATGACACAGGACAGTACTTGAGCTTTTCTCACACAGATGCACTGGTACTGACTTTCCTAAACAATGGACTTTGGCAAACTTATTTGGGTACAGGGCCCATTTCTAGCTGTCTTTGCTAATCTCTCTATGCAACCCCCACTTAAAAAGTCATTCCCCTGATAAGCAGCCCTTCACGTTGACGGTGTCATTTTGCATGGGTGTGAGTTTGGTGGTTAGGAGCATGTAGGAAGCCAGAGGTTTAAGACTCTAATCCTGACTATATCTACAGCTTGAGCTCCTGCTGACAATATTATCAGACAGATTCATGCATTAAGAAAGAAGTTGCTGTCTCTAGAAAGAATCATCTGACTTATTATTGACCTTTGGCTACTCTGTTCACTGGCTTTGCCTCAATGTCAATAGGTGATGAGTGAATACTAGCCATGTGTTAGGCACAGGTCTAAGCGTCGTATACATATCAACTCATGTAATATGCACAACCACTGCTGGAGGTAGGAAATGTTTTCATTCTGCAGATGATGACACTGAGGCACAGAGAGGTTACGTATCTTCACCATTGTCACCCAACTGGCAAGTAGCAGAGCAGCATTTGATCCCCAGTGGTTAGAGTTCAGCTTACTCCATCTTCTCAGGATTTTCTTCCCAAGGCCACACTGACAATCAACTTCCAGATTCTCATGGTGCAAGCTATTGACATTGTATGTTGGCAAAGGAGACTATCCAGTATACGTTTGTCTTATTTCTACCAATTCTGTGTGTGTCAGAAACTTATTTATAAATCAAATTAATTCATAGTTCATGGCCCCATTCCAGCCAAATAACTATATAAAGGCTTTTTGCAAAACAAGTGATCTTTTACAGCATGTAGAGTCAGTCACATAACAGAACACTGGGTGGATTACCAAGTGGGAGTTTTAGTTTTCCTTGTGAAAGAGTCTGAGCCTAGGCAGTCCAGGATTTAATGGGGCCTCTTGTCCTTCTGCTCTGCACGTGACACAGATGTGGCATAGCGCATGGTATTCATTGTCACACTTAGTTCCTCACTGTAAGACGGGTGTTCTACCCCAGTGTTGTGTTCCTGTGCCAGGAAGGAGAAAGGAGACCCATAGAAGGCCAATGTATGGTGCCAGCTAAGTCATGCCCTCTGAGTTCTCTGAGCGTCTCCTTCAATCACGTGACCTCCTCCATCCTAATTGTCAGAACTGTCACATGGCCACCTCATGCTTCAAGGGCTGGTCACTATAGTTTTTTTTTTGTACGTTGTGGCCCTGAAAAAAAACTGGAGTGTGGTCAGTAAGGAAGAAGGGGAGAATAGAGCGTGGTGGCAGGCAGCAGTGTCTGCTTCACAGGAATTCACATGTATTATTATTATTTTTTTGGCGGTCCTGGGCCTTGAACTCAGGGCCTCACACTTGCTCGGCAGGCGCTCTGCCGCTTGTGCCACTCCTCCAGCCTTTTTTGTGTTGGTTTTTTTCGAGATAGGGCCTCACGAACTATTTGCCCTGGCTGGTTTTGAACCGTGATTCTTGTGATCTCTGCCTCTGAGTAGCTAGGATTACAGGCATGAGCTCCCAGTGCTGGGGTACATATATTGATTTTCATAGATTGGTTCTGAAGCAGACTCATGCTTGCTTTCCATTGACATTTGACCCCTGGGCCAGCTCTGTTTTAGGAACAGTTCTGTATCTCCATTCCTGCTGTTTTTTCAGGTCAGACCTTGACTTCTTTGAGGTCCTTGTCTCTAAGCTTGATTTAAGCAAATCGTGTTTCTGCTTATAGGCCCCTGGGGAGTGTGTTCAACAAAGAGGAGGGACTGCTTCACCCCAGCAGCCCTGTCCTATCTTTGACATGACAGCCTGGATTGGGCAGCTCTCAGTCAGTGTGCTGCAGAATGAGACACCTGTACAGCTCTGCCTTTGTCCCAGAACGGAAGTCCCTCTCCTTGGTGGCATTGCTCACTTTCCTGTCTCTAACCAAGAGCGAGGGTTTTATCTAAAGCTGAGCTGTGGGACTCCAGGCCTTGGCGCACCCTCTTATCTGGCCACCGGCTCTGCTCTTTCCTGTAGGTCTGGGAGTAGGAGGTTCACCAGCGATCTTGAAGTGCCTCGTGGTGGGGACACGGAAGGAGGAACTGCCTTCCGTGTGAACTGTTGAGGTCTGGTACACTGTCGGTCAACTACAGGGTGCGACCTTGCTCTGTTAGCCCTTTCTGCCACCGTGCATATGGAGACTGGTGCTTTTTATAATCTTGATTCCATTTTGAGCTATATCTTTTTGGTGGTGGTGGTACTGGGGTTTGAATTTAGGGCCTGTGTTTGCTAGGCAGGTGTTCTACACTTGAGCTATGCCTCCAGCCCTTTTTGATTTATGTTTTTCAGATAAGGTCTCACATAATTTGTCTGTGGCAGGCCTCACATCATTATCCTCCTACCTATGCCTCCCACATAACTGGGATTACAGATATGTAACACCATGCCTGGCTTGTTTGTTGACATGGAGTCTTGCTAACTTTCTGCTCTGGTTGGCCTCAAACTACTATCTTCCCAGTCTCCACCTCCTGAGTAGCTGGGATTCTAGGCATGTACCACTATGGCTGGCCTTGGGGTATAACTTTTCTTTTAGCCTCTATGGTCACTGGAGAAGGGATGTACTTTTTTTTTTTTTA